TGTATGTGTATGTGTGTATGTGTCCCTTCCCTTCTCTGTCTAATGAACTCACAGGCCATCAGACAAAAAAAAAAAAAGCGCAGGTCACAGACACATTTCACCAGCAGCCATCCATTTACACACTCTGGCTGTTGGCATGCCACTCAATTAGTCACAGCGTGGATTACACTCCACGAGGGGTTTGGGGAGCGAATCACACTGGAAATCCAATTTTGTGTCACATCAAATGTCAGGGTAGATCCTTCAGATGCTCTGTGATAACCACAGAGACAGGAGACAGCGGGAGGAGAAACTGAGGGAGCGCAGGAGTGGCGGTGGAGGAGGGGAGAGGATGAGGGTTAGTGGCGAAGTAATAAAGGGAGGTGAAGGAGGGGTGGGGGGACGAAGAGAGTCTCAGAGGTACGAGAGGCATCCCTACTGGCCAGCAGGTCCAGCTTTGTATGTGAAGGGTCATTTGTACTGTGGAATATGGGCAGTTCTGTGTGATTCTGATGATTCTGTGTGCAGTTTGGTCGATTTGAAAATGTCATGCCGGGAAGTGCAATTATCCATTAAGAGATAAGGCCTTTTTAGCTGTCTACATCTTATTTACCTATTGTTACCTGATTTTCTTAGTAGTGTGTCATTGAACAGGACAAGAGGTATGAACAGAATTGATTTTGGGTATCTTATATATAATTTGAAAATTATACTTGCAACCAGTCCAGCTTGCAAACTAATTACGCAGTGTGCGTAACAAACTTTTCTTTAAGATTAGGTGTGTGTCGTGTGTGAGGCCAGCCGCTCTGAAGACACCTGCTGTTGGGTGCAGTGTTCCAGTCACTGCAGACACACACCAACAGGCTTTCATTTGTTTGCATAGCCCCTGCAGAGCAACCCCATTTATTCCTGTAAACCTGGAACATCAAACAGGTACTTTTAGCTATTGTGTACAGCCTGTTCCCTCTCTGGTGCTGACTGGAGTGACAAATGGTTGAGTAGATAAAGGCTCTGTTGGCAGTAAGGAACCACAACTTCCTGCTGAGAGGCCATTAATTAGAAAATTCAAAGTGTGCTTGACTTTACTTTATTGTTTTCCATATTATCATCTCCTTACCACGATTTATTTTTATCTTCACATTTGCTTAGTAATTCATTTTGATGTTACTAGTGCCCCAATTCCTTTTACTTCTATTTAAGGTGCCATTGTTGTGGGAGTGTAGTTTCCCTGTGTAGTTTCCTTACAGCTAGTGCTCCCATTTGAGGATTTCAAGGGGGAAGGCAGTGTTTTGATGGTTGTCGGGCAAAATTGGTTTGATGTCTTGATTTCAAAGATTTCTTTGTCCTCTTTGTTCACACCAGGGGAGCGTGTTTATATTGAATTATTCATACACATTCTCACTGTCGAACACAAATGATTTCAGATATCATCCCAGTGGAAATTCATCACGATCTCCCCCCCCGTGTGTGCAGAGAGGGATGCTCAGTCATTCGTTCCCACTTCATGCGACAAATCCCTCCCCATCCACCTATCTATTTATCTCTCTCTGTGATGGCTGAAACCTCACATTCCCAACAGAGACGACCTGAGTGGCCCCTCAGCCTGTGTATCATTACCGCTGACCAGTGGCCATCTCTATCTGCCCCTGATCTCTCGACCTCCCTGAGAGGCAGCCAACAGCAAGCTCCACAGCGATGGGGGAGGGAGCCAAGGGTGAGAAGAGGGAAGAGATGGAAAGGGAGGGAAAAAAGGAAAAAGGGTGGATGAAAAGGTGAAAGGGCAACAGAGAGGGATGGAGGAAGAAACATGGAGAATGGAGAGAAATGGGGAGAAATGGGGTGAGGTGAACAACTAGGAGAAAGCAGAGGCAGGGAGAGAAAAGCAGGTGAAAGACTGAGATAAAAGGTGAAAGAAGAAAATGGGGTGAGGCAGAAGCAAAAATGGGTAGAGGGGGTGAGTTGCTGAGTAGGAAATTGATAGAGAAGAGAGTAGAAAAGCAGGGGGAAGAGTAGGAGAATGAGGGTGGCGGTAGAGGAAAACAGACGAAGGAAAGAAAGTCGGAGATCAGATGAGACATGCAGGGAAACTCAGAAATGGAGTGAGAGGGAGAGAGAAGAGATGCTATTTCAAGACCATACTTACTGATAATGTCACTCTACTTCAAAGTGCAAAGCGTTCCTGTCATGCTCCTGCATGACTGTGACTCTGGAGAATTTCCTCATAGATCAGATGATAAAAGGACGCCTGACAGTAGTGTGCGTGGGGCTGCTACTCACTCACTGTGTGACACATTTTCAACTGTGACAAAACATACTGAGATCTCTACTTTCATTTTTGTCTTAATCAATACATAGCTGCTGACCGGAGGACCTGGAGGAGATTTATTCAGGGGGCAGCGATGCCAAGAACACCAAGAAGATCACCAGGTAAACTCCAGGTATATTTGAAGATAAAGCATCAGCCATTATTTTGTAATAAATTACCGTCTTTCACATGACACAAATCAGCAAAAAACTAACAAGAAGGAAAATAGATCAGCATAAAGAAACATTTAAATGCATAAAAAGCATATGTCACTGTTATTTGGCCTTTATTATAATTGTTGAGTTTAACATGTTAATCACAGGCATTTCATTTCCATGTCTTGATGGCTCAGATTTCCCTGATTTCATCAATCATGTAGCCTTCAGGCACCACACTCATCACTGAAACCCTGACTGGCTAAGATTCCTGAGGGGTAATAAATTTAATCTCAACTTGGAGAATGATCCATGCATCCTCTGCCTAATTGAATATTTTACTAGATTTAATTTTGCAATATTCACATAGACACTTTGAATATATGATTCAATTGTGTGTTTAAATCAAAGCACATGGTAATTTTCAGTAAGTTCTTTTCTAATTAATGTTGGTACTACTGCCTTTGGATCAATGGTATCCATTTATAGCAGGAAGACCCACACACAACAACAACAACACATGGTCATCCATCTTTCCACTCTGACTCTTTTCATTTGGTTTATGCTGTGTGAATCTACAAATGTAAGGGGATTTAATATTCTCCTGTGGTTCATATAAAAAGAAGGCATTCCACCAAAATCAAAACATTTTATTTTTAAGTCAACCACTCTGATATTTTACTGTATGTCAGCTGACAGCAACAGGAAGTGTTTTATCAGGTATCAGCAAGGTATTTTCAACTAACAATACCTTGATTAATTAATATATTTACTCAGTTGTTTCTTATCAATTTGTACTTGTGGTAGACTCTCAGACAATTAGATAAGGGTTTTTTTTCTGAACCTCAATGCAATTTTTGTAAAAAAAAATAATATTATATATAATATTATATATAATATAATATATATTATATATAATATAATATATATAATTATAATCATAAAATGAGTGAATTTCTATATTTAAAATCTCATGACTTTTACTGTACGCTACGAAAGCTCAAGATGTAACACATCAGCTGACATACCTTCATGAATTTAATTCTAACTTGCTTTGATACAGTGGGTAGAGTGGAATAGGCAAGCACACAGATATTCAGGTTCGTAATTCACTGACAGTTATGCTCGCTGTATTTACTGTTGTTACCAGTGAGTCCAAAAATATGGTCTCTGTGGGTGCTGCCAAACCAGTATTCCCACAAAATTAATTAGAGAAGTTATTTCAACAACACCACTGTGGTTCTGTTTCCTCCACACTTCATCTGAATGTCTGCCATGGTCACTCAATTAACACATGGATTGATTGTTGTTTATTTTGTTTGCAGAAAGTGCTGACATGCTCATAACACCTTATACACTTTTAAGAAAAATAGATTTTTGGGATTATGACCACATGACATATAGTATTATGAACATCCTATAGATATAAGTCAATTTTTAAGCAACTTATGGTGCAATATGCATGTTATAATGTGTTACAAACCTGTATATAATGCATTATAGATCATGATCTGAAAAAAAGTCCGCTGGTGTTTGGTCTTCTAGTACAAATCTCAATTTGAGACAGTCTACAGCTAACTAGTGAGATAAAGTGTTAACTTATTTTATGCACCATAGGTCAGCACAAAACTTCAGCTTCAGTTGTTAAAATAAACTCTTCTTCTTCTTTCTTCCCTCTCTGTCTACTTTCACTCTCTACCCCAATCTATCATCTTCCCCGCTTTTCTTAGTGCCCCTTTTCTCAGGTTTTCATTCTTCATCCCCGTGTTTCGATATGCCACTGTGTACTATGGCTTTTTATTCCTATGTGATGATGAAAAATGTTCGTGTAGGAATAGAAGCCATTTTACACGTGGTGAGAGAGCAACATGACAGAAGCATGACAGAAGTGAGAACTCCTCACTGCCTGCTCGACAGTGCTCCTGGAGAACATATGGTTGGATAAATGTTTCCTGTCTTCTGTTGAATGTTTCCCTGTAGTAAAGATACATTTATGCTCATCTTTCATATGATGAGTGTGCTCACTGAAGTGCTGATCTGAAGACAAAAAAATGAAGTCAGACTTTGTTGTGTGTGCACCTGTTTTTGCCTCCAGGCACAAGCAGCTTCCACTGTTTGCAGTGTTTGATGCATGTGGTGACAGCTGCAGTCCGCAGGGATGGAAGTTGGAACATTTGCAAAACATGTCATGAACAAAGGAAGAAAAGAGCAAGGAGAGACCAATACAGATCTTTAATAACCAACTGTAAAAGAGGCACTTAGTGAACCACTTTACAACTTGCAGAGAGGCACAGCATTTCCCTTTCTTCTCACTCTGATTCTTTTGCACATTATTAAAATAAAACTTTGACATGAAGCATTACACCAAACAATAATCTACCTACAATATTATACAATGTAAGATACATACAGTATAAACAAGATAAAGCACCTTTGTTGTCCTAGTACTATTCCTAATTAAACAATTGGAATTACAGACACAGATGATTGAGTTTTTGATTTGTGTGTGGTATTATCAGTGCATGGGAAAAACTCCGAATACAGGTCTTGGGACTGTGATGTCCTTGGATGCACCTGAGTTTATTCAATGGAAGCTTTCCTAATCTTCTGTCAGCCTACATATGAAGTACTTGGATGGTTTACACAGTATCTTTAATAAACTACAGAGAACAAGGTAAAAACAGTTGAATGAATGTACTGTAACTGCTACAGATCTCATGTTCCCTTCCGAGGACATTGGCATTCACATTACAATAAAACACAATGTAGCACCAGGTAATATTTATACAAGAGGCTAATATGATGAATGTCAATGCAGTACAGTAAAGTTAAAAAATAATACAAAAAGAATATGTTGGAAGCATGTATGAAAGGTGCACAGACAATAGTCCAGGTCAGTTATGAAGTCATTTGGTCTTTTTGCAGAAAGACTGATGGATAAGATCATGTTATGAATGCAAAATGAACATGCATTTCTTAGAAGAAAATCTTTTACTATATTTTCAAGTATTCTTTTTTCTTTCCTTTAGCTAAATTACATAGAATCTCTGAAAAGGATAATATCCAACGAAAGAAAACTAGAAAAAGAGTCCAATGATTTTCCCAACTAGCATCATTTTTGACCCAAAATTCATATCTGCTGTTCGTCCTCACATTTGTGTAATAAAAACACATGTACAAAGAAGATAAAGTGACTACGTAAGTATTTAAAGATAGCATTTCACAGAAAAGAGCTGTGCAATCTCATTCACCATAATGAATTATCTTAAACATTTATAACTGTGAAATTTACAATCCCTTATTCACAGATACATCACACCCCACTCAGTTAATAGATTCTGATGTGTCCTTCCTTAAAGGAATCTTAAAGCTTGTCAGTTTTTGGCCAAACAGCTGGCTAAGAAGGTGGTTCTGTGACTCAGCTGTCCGATAGGAATGGCTCTCCATTGACCTAACCCCCATCTTTGGCCTAGATTTATTCAAAGAATTGTTCATGGGAACTGAAGACACTTTAGAAATAGGGGGATGCAAAGGCCGCCCCAGAGGTCCCTTTTTGGCTTTGTAATCCCCATTAAGAGGAGTCACAATCTCAGCTTTCTTTTGTGTACAGCTATCAAGCAAGCTTCTTTTTGACTGCAAACCTATGTTTGAAGTCTTGCACTTGGAAATGATTTTGTTGCTAACGACATCGTCCCTTACTGAGGACAGCACAAGGTAGTCGTTGGGTCCATCTGGCTTTCTTTGCAGAGAGGGATTTGTACACTTGCTGAGGCGAAACTTCTTTTTAGCCCTTGAGTCAACACCAAAGTTCTCTTGTGTGGCTGGTAAGGAAACCCTTTGCAGGCTGTGGGGGGATTTCATGTCTTTCCTTTTCTTCTGTGGTCTCACAGATTCTTTGTCCTCATTTGAGGCTGAAGCATTGAGGGAAACTTTGGAGAGGAGGACTGGTGTGGATTCTGTAGGCCTCGTACTGCCATTTGTAGAGCTGTTTTTAGTGTTGTCAGCTGTTTTGACTGGAGCAACTTTGTCTTTCATCTGACTGCTACTTTCCTGTTCAGCACAGTGAGATAATGTCGGCTGTTTGCTGTCATTATTTGAAGCTTTCGGCATGTGATGCCACTGCTCATCATCCCTATGTTGGTCCATCACATTAGCAGCTAATTCATGCTTTGCTGACTCAGATGTCTTTGAAATTATTTGATTTTCTCTTGAGCTGACAAAAGAGTCCTCACTAGGTGGAAGTAAATCTGTTTTTTCTTCAGTCTCAGCTGTGTCACCTTCAACAGAGCCTTCCTTCGCTTTAACATCAATCTCCTCCCCAGCACAACTACTCTCTTTAGATGCCGACCATGAGGTTGTCCCTGCTCTAATGCAGACTGACTCATTCTCCTCTTTCACATCACATGGTTCAGTAATCGATTTTCCATTACCCTCTTTATCAAAAATAGGTGAGGTGGTTGAGTCAATTTCCTCTTTCTTGGGTGTAGCAGGCTCTGAAGGGCCCATATGAATACATTTCTCCAGCTCTACAAGTAGTTCAGAGTAGTCCTCAGCAATGTCCTCAGTCTTCACATTTGTATTGTTTGTACTACTGTGGTATTCATTTGTGATGGTCTGTGTGGAGTCATCTGCTGTAGACACAGATGGTTTTGAAGACTGTGTTTCAGAGTTTTGATTTAAGTGCAATGAGCTTACGCTGGCGATGCCACTGTCTGAACTATTTTCTTGCAGACTGTCAGAGAGAATTCTCCTCTTCTTACTTGCAGGCGAATCACATTCATCTTCTTTGGACGCTGATGCTTTGACAGGTCTGAGAACACCTCGGAATTTAAAAATTTTGTTACCCCCTGACAGGTGCTTTTCCATGTGACGATCAAACTGTTCCTTCTTAGAGAAGGTATAGTTACAGGTGCTGCAGATGAAGGATTTTTTGATCACATGCATGACATCAGCACATAGCTCACAGGTGTAGAGGGTGGTGTGTTTTGAATCCAGTTCATCCACCTCCTCGTGTGCTCTCTTCAGATGACTTTTAAGCTCCTGGGCCTCCTGATAAGAGACAGGGCATTTATGACACAGGAAAATCTTTTCCAAATTGTGAACCACTAAATGTCTCTGGAGTTTGAATGGTTTGGGAAATTGTTTCCCACAGTGATGGCAGTCTCTTGAGGGGTCTTTGCAGTTGGGATGCATCTCCACACTTTTTGGTGTTTCTGTTTTGTGGAGGACTTCAAGTGGGGTTAATGTGCTCTGCTTGCTACCTGCTCCACTGCTGCTTTTAGTTCTGGAAACCTTTGGCTCAGCCCCCTCTGAGTTTTTCCCCTCTTCCACAGTGCTGTCTGCAGCAACAGCTTTTTCCTGTTCTTTAGTGGCTTTGCTGGAGTCTCTGTTGGTTTTGCTGGGTCGATGCTGCATGATGGAGGTGATAAAGTTCTTCACAGCAGTCTCCTGCATGAAGCAGCCTGGAATGCCTAACATGGAGCCTTGTGTCTGACCCCTCCGGGCAAACTGAGTGGCGTGTTCTCGTAAATGTTCATTGTACATCCACACATCTGATATCTCCTTCAAGCACATTCCACAGGTCCAGATACCTGTCTTGTTCTTGGCGTGTTTCTCCCTCAGATGGTCTCTCAGCTGCTCCCTTGAACTAAACTTCCGCTGGACACACATGTAGCAGGTCGGAGGGGGAGAAGGGTTGTGGGAGAGTTTGTGAAAGTTTAGTTCGCCTAGGGTGAGGAACCAAGTGAAGCACACTTTGCACTTGTACTGCTTATCTTTAACCTTTATTCGACCATCTGGCCGTTTCCTGCCTCGCCGCTCCATTACTTTCTTAGACTTTTCATCGTCTCTGTTCTCCACGTGAACAGTTGTAAGAGGAGGAGCCACTGAGATATCTTTATTAGAGTCAAAGAACTGAATCTCAGGAAGTTGAAATGTGGTGTTGATGTTTTGGATGTCAATGCTGTGGAAGGTTTGGACACTCTCTGTTACACATGGCTCTACAGTATAGGGGGCAGAGGGCATGGGCAGAGGACAGGGTGCTGTCGGTACTTCTGCTTTATATGTGCTGGGGTCAGAGGTCACCGTTGAGCCTTCATCAAAGCCATTAAAGTCACTGGAGCAACTCCCTTCAATTGTGGATTTATCAATGGTGCTCTCGAGTGGATTCAAGAGGCTGTTGCTAAGCTCTTTAATATTCTCATGAACAACCTGCTGATCATTTTGTTTAACATCTGACAATGGCTTGGCATCAGCCTTTAATGTACTGTTGTGGCACATATTCAACATGATGGCATCATCGATAGATATTGTCTCATATTCACAGCGGTTAGCCTGATTGTCAGTGAATGCCTGCTCTTCTTGGTTTTCCATGTACTGATCTTTATTTTGCATGAAGGTTTCTGAAGGAGGGTAGTCCTGAATCACATTTGAATCGGGCAATGGTTTCTGTCTTTTATTTCTTTTGCTGTACACCCTCTGGCACTTTTTCCTTTTTGCCTCCTCATCTCTGGGGAACAGCTGTGAGAATGTAGTGTCATCGTCAAGTAAGGCCTTCAGCTCGGGGCTTAAGCCGGGAGGACTGAGAGTGGAAGAATTCAAACAGGAGAGAGAAGGTACCTCATCTGAAGGGCCACTGTTTTTCTCACATTTTATCTCGACTGCCACTTTTCTGAGAATCTCTTGGGCAAGGCTCTCTTCTGACCCTTTCTGTTCACACATCTCTTCCACAGCGCACAGAGTCTTTCCGGATTCATCACATTCTCTGATTATATCCTGGTGTACAGATATAGCACTTTCTACATTATTATCTGTACATACTTCCCCGTTTGCCATCTCTGTCATGCTTGTACGTTTCATTTCTTCTGTATCAGTGGTTTGATTTAGTTCCACAGTTTCGCTAAGCACATTTGTCTCTTTTGTTGGAGATCGGGGTGTACTGTCAAAGCCAGACTTTGAAGTAACATGGTGAGGGAATTTCTCTGTTCCAGTAACAGTCCTGTCATTGATTTTCACCTGGTCCTCAGGAGATTTGTGTTTCTCTTGTAGTCCACTGTTTTTGAATTCAGGAGTTATAGCTTGAAGAATGTCTGTTTTTAATATATTCAGAAGCTCATCAGAGAAAGGGTCAGGTTTGATGTTTACCTCACTGTTTTTGTTCTTTCGGGCTTTGTAGTTCTTCTTTGCTTTTGTTGGCAGCTGAGGGTTTTGATGGCCTATTTCATCCAGTGCCACTGTACTTGTCTCAGTTGCCATTTCCTCTAGGACTGACTCAGTCTCTGCTGCTTTAGATATGAAAGTGCTACTTGTCTCAGGCAGACAGTCTATTTTTGTTGGGTAACAGGTCTGTGAATCATCTTTATGTTCTTTTTCTGTGGTTTGTGATGCTTCATAAATAAGCATAGTCTCTTGATGGCTTGATGTTGTGCTCTGCGGGCCAATTTGTTTTTCGGTTTTGACCAGATGTTTCATGGCCTTATGTCTCTTTAACCCTGGTACAGTCCTGAAACCCATGAGGCAGATTTCACAGAGCACTTTCCCCTGTTGAGCATTGTTCTGTGTCTTTTTTTGTGATATTTCTTTCTGTATGTGGTGCGTTGTTGAACACTGGCCAGTCTCTATTGTTGGTTGCTTCTCTGATGGGTCTGGAGGAAGAGGCATTTGTTCATTTTCACAGATGATGAGTGGCTTAGGAGTAGGCGGACCATCTGAAATCTTTTTCTTGATAAGTGTACGGTCTTCAGCAGAAGCCTTGTGAGAATCTGAATTCTGTGAATCGACTTTTATCAGCAGGTCCGCATGAATGTGCACATTCTCAACAAGTCCAACCGCATCACAACAAACCTCCAAGTTTGTCTTTACATTACCAGCTAAGAAATCTTTGCTTTTGTTTTCAGGTGGGAGTGCCAATGAAAAACATGTGAATTTCATACTCTGCTGCAGAACCAGTGCTTCGTCTGATAAATTCAGTTCAGCTACACAGTTTGAGTTCAGTGATACCGCTGTGTCTGTGTCTGTTTCAGTTTTGTTAAAAATCAGTGCAGGGTTAACGCTCAGGTCACATGGTCCACAGTCATCTCTGGGACTCTGCTTGATGTCTGGATTCTCTTCAGGTTTACTGGCTGGTGAAATTGGTATGTAGTCATATTGATTCAGTTGTGGAGGTTCTTCTGAGATGCTGTTGTAGTTGAGAGGGCTGAGCTTGAAATCATACATTGGGTCTCTATTTTCAAGGTCATCTGATACTTCTGGTGGTTCTGCTGTGCTGGTCACTGGGAGTGGAGAGGGAATGGTGGTTTCAGAGCTGGGGATTTTACACACTATCATTCCCAAGTCCAGAGGAGGTGGGCTTATCAAAGAATACTCCATCATGGCTTCTTTGTTTATGGGGGATTTCATATTTTGAACTGAGCCTTGGTTAATAGAGATATTATTACATTTGCTTTGTGACGGACATGAATCCTCTTCTATGTCCCATTTCTGGATGGGTGTTTGATGAGAGGTCGGTAAAAGAGGACTGGTTGGTGTGGAAGTGTGTAGAAAAAGACAGTGACTTTCATCCACCTCTTGTCTGCATGGTGAGTTTTGGTGACTTGCCATGAAATCAATAGGAAGATGTTCTTTGATGTCCTGAACATTTAAAATCTCCTCTCGTTTCTGAACAGTCTCAAAGGCAAGACCTTTTTCACATTTTAATGAGTCATCCAATTGTGTAACTTTGCAGGAATCACTGTCAATGTTGCCATCAGACTGTGTAAGGATCAACAGATTACTTTGTCCCTCTATAGACTGGGTTTCTCTGGTGGGTGAGCAGTGACTAGTACTCTCTGTATTGGTTTCCACCGGTACTGGACTGCAGGGATTGTCTGTGGTTATCTCCACTGACACATTAGTTGTTGGACTTGTAGTATAAGTCCTAGCAGGGCTGCAGCTTTTAGAGGGAGATAGTCTAATCAAATAATCCTGTTCTACTGTTTCAACAGTTATTTTCTCAAGTACACTGTCTGAGTTCTCCACTTTCAATTCACCACCATCCGATGTAGGAATGTCTCCAGGATGATCATGGTTATCAGTGGATTGTTGGTCGAGTGCTGCTTTAATCACATCCGGAATTTTCTTGCCCATGTCTATACTGGTGCCAGGTACAGCTGGTGATAAAGGATAGCAAACAGATTGTCCAGTGATTCCCCTCACTGCCTCTGCTTCCTCGTAGCTGTCAGTGGTCGAATGTTCTGGACTGTCACTACTGTTTTCAAATAACTGATTCACACTGTCTGCTGTATTGCTATTCCCACCGGACTCCTCAACCACATGCGGGTCATGGGTACCCACACTTGTGCAGTGAGCAGACTCAATCAAATTACTATTCTCAGTGACATCCTCCTCTGATATGACTTTAGTCTCAGCCTTGCTATCATTGTTTTCTGTAGGCTCACTTGGCTGCGATGAAATTGGCTGGTTTCCATTGACTGTGGGGTCAGTGCTGTTAGAGAGAGATGACTGTGACTCATTCAGAATGAATTCAATATCGTCCTTCCGCTCATTGATATTTGGAGGTGATAATATATTCTCCTTCCCAGTAATTGCTTCCTTTTCACTGTGATCTTCTTTCTCAACTGCATCAGTTGCCTGACATTCAATTTCTTGATGTTGTTGACTTGTGAGAGAGGTGACATTCGGCTCCTTGTGTTCTGATATAATGGGTTCTTTTTTGAATATAGAGTCTGAAATCACCTCCAGGCTTCTCATGAGGTTTTCTGTATATCTCTTCTGTTCTAAAATCTCTTCCTTTGTTTCTACAGGAGTCTCTTTTTCAGTTTTTCTCTCCTCTGGTTTCTTGTTGTGGTGGAGCTGTGGGTGCTCAATATGTGAGGCAGTGGTGATCAAATTTGGTGCATCATTTTCTTTTTCAGTAAAATGTTCAATTGCCCCTGCTTCATTATGAATTGGAGTATGGGGACTGTGGTGTGCACCCATTAGCTCAAACTGGAATGTACTGGCCCACGGGTCAGTGAAAGGCTCTGAGGGCAGACTGGTCACAGGCACATCTATTGTTTTCCCAGGGCACCTAATATCCAGACCATTGCTTTCAGTTCCTGACTCATCACTCAGACGTAAAGGTGAAAATTTGCTCATTTGCAGTTGCTTGGGGACATCCTGACCTAGTAAGGGTGGGGTTTCCATCTTGGTTGTCTGCAGCTGGTTTTCAAGCTCATTCACTATTCTTTTTATCTCGAGCTCATCCTCTGATGCACAGCTGTTGAGATTTGCACTGTAGTCAATTATTTTTTCTGGCAGAGACAAAGGAACTTGATTGTAATCTGGTTTCTTTTCATTTGATTTCTCAGAGTTGCCTTTGTACTGAGATATCTCATCTGGTAGCACAGGGCTAACTATAAGGTTCCAGTCTCTTTGTTCCAGAAAGGGAGAGAAGGACGACACAAACTCTTCCTTTTTATCAGTTGTATTCTCTATTGAATGGAAACTGTCGAATCCTGTGAGATCCCCAAACATTGACGAGGTGTCAAATGAAAGTGGGGATTTCATAAGCCCCTGTTCCTGATCCAGGGGGTAGGGCATGAGGTGAAGTGCATCTTTTTGTATCAACTGGCCCTGGCTTTCAGTTGGAGATAGGCACACCTCATCCATCAAAGAGGTGCAGAGAGAAGCAGGCTTGTGTGTGTCTAGGTCATTGACTAAAGTAATAGGCTCTTTCACCATGCAGACACTGTCACTCTGTTTTTCAAATGTGGTACTGTCTGATAGTTCTGGTTGTGTGGCTTGGGGCCCCTCTCTTCTTTTGCACTTTGTGCTTCTGTCAATATTGAAATCATTTTCTTTGTTGATGGTGGGAGAGTGTGAATTAAACTCTGGTAGCTTGTTATCTGGACTGCTACACTGTGTTGGTTCTTCTTTGGGACACAGGTTGTCTGTTCTCTGTAGGGTGTTTCTGTCTGAACTGACTGTTGTGCCAGTTTCTTTTCTGGGAGACACAAGCTTCCCTCTTGATTTTGTATAAGAGCTTCTGCTTTTTTCAAAGTTTTTGATTGTGCTTTTTGCCTTTTGTGAGAATGACACTGGATCAACAAGTTCTGGATTTGATTGATACTTCTTTGGCTCCTCTGTACTATCTTTGTTATCAGAAATAATGGCTTTGTCAGTATTATACTTCTTGATAGATTTGGTGAATGTCAGGGCTAGTGTGCTGGACTCTTTACATAACTTCTGCGGGGAGGACCTTTCATAGGTTTTCTGCTCTGGAGACTCTTTCTTTTTGATGTCTGTCTTCTTCTCACAGTCTGAGTCAGTGCGGTCAGTGCTTTTGGGGCTGTTGATACTGTCACTTGAAATACTCACAGATGTGCTGAGTTCACTGCTTGTGGATGACCTGCTACCCCTACGTCTGAGTCTCTGGTGAGAACTATGTTTCTCAGGCGAGAGAGAGACCTCCTCGCTTTTTTTAACCTCAAAACATTCCTTCGACTCATGTCTCCATGCTGCCTGGTCCCTCTCACTCCTTGCTCGCCATTTGCACTCTTTAGTGTATGTGTATTTACACCGACTGCTTTGATTCAGCCGGCCTTGGCTTGCTATCTTTACGGGCTCACAATCGTCATCTGAGTCCGAGACATAGTCGTATTCTCCAAATGCAGGGTTCTGTACAGTGGGAGTCAGTCTCTCCATCACTAAGGAAAACTGGAGGTTTTTGGTACCTTTCACATGGAGCTTATGGAGCTTATTTTTCTGCTGAACTATTTTGTGAATAAGTTCTTTACTCCAGGTGCCCCCTCCAGTGCTTTTCCTCTTGCCCTCTTTCACTGCAGTTCTTGAGGTTGGAGATGTGGAGGCCGTTGACCCTCGAAGTGCAGAGGTGTCCTGAAAGCTTTTAACACCACAACGCTCAGAAAACTTACTGGATAAGAGAAACCTTTGTGTACTTATATTTTCGTCCTCACTCTTGCATAGTTTTCTTGCCTCTTTCACTTTGTTTTCTTGTTCCCCCGTCTTTTCCCTTGAGGCAATTCTTGAATTTTTATGAGAGACTTCTTTTTTTATGTTAATTTTCTCATCCTGTTCCAAATTTAGAGATATTTTCTCAAGTTTGCTTTCTGTGTACTGTTTATCTGTCTTAGGGCTCTCAACATCAGAGTCATAAAAATACTTTCCCTGTGTGAAAGACCTTTCATCATCTGCTGCTTGTTTAGTTTTGCTTTCAAATACCAGGGATTCTTTGGTTTTCAGACATTGTTTGTTTGATGTTGCTTTAACAGTGGTGAGGTCATCATCAGCAAATGCATCGATAAAGCTACTGTCTATCTCTGCGTTGTCGGATTGATATCCCAGTCCATTCAAGGCTTCTGTGATTAGGCTGTCTAATTTGGCATCCTCCATTTCCAGCTCAGGGAGAGGGACAGGGAGGTTACCAGAACCAGAAAACAAGTTGAGTTTCATTGGATCATCCTTATTGTCTCCTTTTGTTTCGCTATCAGATATCAGTTCTCCATTTTTATTGAGGCCCAACAGAGATAGGTCATATGGGCACCTTATCATCGAAACATTTGACACAGATGGCGCCGCTTTTGCTGGTTCTGCATGAAACTTTTGGCTGTCCTCCATCTTTGATATGTCTTTGAGGTCATTTTGTGCAAACGTATGTTGAGCACAGTATTGCTTATGGCCTAAAAATGAAGCCAGGTTGTTGAAATTCTGATCACACTGCTTGCATGTCAGAAGCACATCTAGCTGGTCAAGATTTTCTGCTAACGAGGTCGCTAACAGCTGATGTGCAGAGTATGGTGGTGGAGGCTGGTGATGCTCTACCCCAAAACTGTCCATGTAACCTTTGTTCCCATCCATAGTAGACTTTGGATGTGTGTTGTTTTGCAGGTAGCTCATCATGTCGTCTTTGGCTCTGTCTTGTGCATAAGGAAGGTTTCGTGGAGCATCAGAATGAAACTGGTGAGGACGAGAGCTCAGGTGATCTGATGGTAACTGTGTTTTGGCTTGGGGCTGATGATAAAATGGGTGAGGGGTTGCAGACTTTGACATTTGACTGTCCTCTGAACTGATGTTAACAGGACTGGTGGATGCTGGGGAGAGGGAAGAGCACGTACTGCTAGATGCAGGGTTATGAACTGGTGAGGGCAAAGGAGATTCATAAGGTGACACCATCATAAGTCCCATAGGTTGGACCTGTAATGGAGGGTAGCTAAAGTTTCTTGATGATGCTGGTGGAAGAGACTGATTGAGTCCAAAATATACTGCCTTATTTTTGGATTCACAAACTTGTGCGTGGCTCATCTCTACTTTAAAAGTTGAGACTGTATTACTGCTATGTTTTACAGTCTCTTGTCTTTGGGGTGAAAACCCATCACTAGTTCTGTTGTTCTGAAATGAGCTGGGATGTTTGTGTGACTTGCTATCATCCTGCCAGTCAGAGGGGGACACCATGTAAGACAATTTTTGACTGCTTATTTGCCTAGATAACTCGATTCTGTTTTGGTTCGGCATGGCAGAGGTTGGCCGTATCTGCTGCCAGGGCATTCTGCTATTTTTAGATGAATTTGGCCTTTGGTCAAGTGCTGGTTGGTTCTGAAAATGAAACTTCTCATTCATATCAGAATACTGAATTGTGTTTTGATCAGCTGGTGGAAATGCTTTATTTGGCCCCTCCCATGAGTGTGGTAACCTATTTAGAACCTTATTATTGATGCTTTTATCAAAGGGCATTGAGCCTGTGTGAACGTTACTGACTAGAGCATTGTTAAATGTTTTGCTGGGAAAGTGCATTTGGGAGCCTGGACCTTGTGAAATATTCCTTGCATTATGCACACTTCCTTGAATGAGTGTTCTTTGGCTGGCAGCTGTGTCTTTGGGGTGACAGTTCCTCTTACTCCCCGAGGTGATGGCTGCATCCCTACTGTCTGCCTGTCCAATAATGTCTGTGCTCTCAGGCAGGGCACTCTTCCCCTGCTCTGACTGCTGTGAGCTGGAGCCAGAGCTGTCACTGCTAGCTGAGTCCTCACTCAGATTCCTAGGACACTGGATGGAGGATGCTACCCCTTGAATAAACTGTGACTGTGAGGGTTGAGGATAAGAGCTTCTATCCTCTGGCTGCTGTTCATTACTGAACTGAGTACTGTTCTGGGCAAGATTTTGCCCTTCTCCAGGCGTAAAGGAAAAAGAGTTGTGGGTCACATGAATAGAACCTAGAGAGGAGTCTGTAAAGTCTTGGGATTGCGGGTTCTGTTCACAGGGAAAAGAGTCAGAGGTTGATTCTTCCAGAAAATGATATCCATATTGAAATGGACCAGGCACAAAGGCATTTGCCTTATTAGCTTCTGTGAGGGCAGTGGATTTTTGTGATGAAACCACATAGTTAGCACCATTAAAAGTCCTTTCAGGAGACTGCCATGTATTAGAGCCACTCAGCTGAAAATCAGCCAGGATTAGCTGGCTGCTGGGCTGTGTGCTGTTGTTCTCCATTGAGGCAGGCTGCTGCTGCTGTGACAGGGGTTGATGTGGGTGGGATGATGTTCCACTTGAGGAAACCAGTGCCTGTGAGGTATAGCTTGGGGAGGTAAGGTTAGAGGAGGCCTTCTGGAAGCAGCGGCTATAGTTGAGCTCTTCTTGCTGTAGTTCGGCCTCTCTCTCTGGTATACTGGGAACGTGGAATCTGTAGCTGCCCGAAACTGGGCCACGACTGGTCTCCAACTTCTTGGGTGGCGAAATCTTCTGCTGTGGGTAGGCAATACCAATGGTTGGATTGGAGCGTGGATTTGTAATGCTAAGTCTGTACAGCTGCTGCGGGTTGCCACGCTCTGACTTTCCTGACCGCTTCCCCTTCTCTCGGCTGCGGCCCTTTCCACTTGGGGACTGGGGGCTGCCTTTGCCAGTTGACCAAGTCCTGTCTGTGGCAAATTTTGATTGGTTCTGCAGTGACCTGAAGTCAATCTTCCCTGCCTGCTGTGGCCGTATGACAGCCTCACGCTGCTGAGGACAGTCCCTCTCCTTTTCTAGTTTTTCAACTTTGGGCCCTCTGCTGCTGGCTCTGGCATCAGTGCCTGTGCTTGAAAAGTGCTCTGAAGACTCCTTTGTAGTTTTGTCACTCTGCTGTTCCAGTGCCGTCCCCTCATCCTGCAGTTTGGACTCAGTGTCCAGCTCTTTGACAGCATGCATTCGCTGAGTCTCTCCTGCCATGGTGCACAATACGTGCTGTGAAGGCCTGGTCCTCAGAAGTGCTATCTGGGAGGCAGGGACATCGTCTTCTGGGTAGTATGAATCAGTAAATGTCCAGTGGTTGGAACTGCAGGGACAGGGCTGCTTGTTGCAGGCTCATCTCTTCACTTTCATTGTGAACCGCTATTCGAGCACCAAAGCAAAATCTGTAGAGAAAAGACAACAGAGAGGATCAGATGACAAGCTTTTACTGTTTAATTAAAAAACAATTATGTTTGTGACCATATTATGTGATTTTTTTAAAATAAAATCCAGCAATATTATCTATAGCACTAAACACCATTGATGAAATAATTATTTCTTTAAAATAAACAAAAAACTTATTTATCATATTTTTATCCAGGTATTAGTATGGAAAATAGGAATGTGAGAAATCTGCACATGAAACAAATGTTATTAACAAGTTATTAAAAGATGTTTTTTTATGTAAACAATTCAGAAATCTACTTTCATGTGTGAGAGTAAGTACAATTGCAATATTCCCAGTTTCTGCCAGCAGAGAGCACTATTGCAGCATTTCACTGTGGTGCTACACAAAGAACCAGTGTAATCAATAGGGAATTTCAAAACACTGCCAAACTCCAGTACTCCAAGTCTTGGAGATACTACTAACAGTTACATTCTTTATTCTTCACAACAATAAAAATACATTTTAAACAAGCAAATACAGTTTCATCTGAGTGTTGGATTTCTGCTTTACAACAGTAGATTGATGGCTGTATAAGCGTCACAGTCAATATCCTCTACATAAACAATCACACAAAGAAACCCATTTGGTCTTGAAATGATGAAGCTAACTACAGTACTGAGGATGAGAAAAATACAGTACATGGATCCAAAAAGCACTGCCAGTAAATGAATCACAGACTCCTTAAGAGCAAGGACACAATGCCACAGTGTTCTTTTGCTACAGAGTGCTGCAGGTTTAGATCATGGAGGAATATCAGGGATTAGTCAGTCAGCCATTAGACAGTGAGAACTGTGGGCACACTGACGTTTGTTGCCTTTCCTCAGGCATCCCAGACACAGCTTCTCAGGTCCCAGTTTACTTTGGCCATTCACTGCCTCTGCTTCTTTTGAGGTCAGACCAGATGAAACTTGGAGTTAGCACCAAAATGTAATTTCTAGGCCTCGTAACCAAACTTCCATCCCACCTCCTTGTCTGCTTCCCCTGGCTATTACCAAAGCCAGTGTTGGGGGTGGCATAGAGATCCCAGAGACTACCATTTACCCAGAGGATTTGGGTTCAAGTCTCTGTTCTGACTACCATTCACCCTGCTAAAGTGTCCTTCCAAGACAAATTCCTGGCAGTTTTAGGGGGTGCTCTTAAGGTTTTCTTAGGAGGGTCATAACCAGGAAGGTGTGAGTAAAAACAGTGCAAATACATTGCAGTATTCCTGTATGAATGTGGCACATGTGAGCTTTGCATTGGGAATCAGGTGACGACTGACCCAGCAGAATAAACACACCTACAGCAGGATGCATCGCTTCTCTGCACCATGCATTTTAAACCAGTTAGGGGCAAGCAGCCAAAATATTCAAACTATATGTCAACATTCACCCTCAGAGTGCAGTGCATTGATAATTCTGACATCTTAAATTAGTGTACAAAAAAATCAATTCAGTGTCCTATTATCAACTTGAAGAAGCATATTCCCTGTGCAAAAACGAAGTGAAAATGTCCATCAAAACTCCATGCTCATAAATCTCTCAGGAGATTCTGTCGTTCTGCCCTCTCAGGGTCATTTTAAGATCAGCATCAGATGTTTCCATCCTAAATGCCTCTCTAAAAGTCCAGGTGCTTATCATTTATCAACTAGCTTACAGTAATGCATTTTTTAATTGAGACTATTCAACCAAATACAACTTTTCTTTGCTTTTGTTGCTTAAGCACAAAGTCAAACAAGGCATGAATGACAGTCATATTTTTTTAGTGCAGTTTGCTCAACAGTGAAAGCTCTATAGAGATTTTTTTTCCTGCAACACACCTAGATTCCTTTCATAGTGATCCTATCTAATCTGATAAGATTGTTTGACATACATTAATACTGATTATCAGAAAGATGATGACAGACTGCACACAAATGAATTCTTTGTGAACCATGGTAAAATAACCAAACCACATACAGTCATGATATATCATAATACTCTTCACAATTAAAGCATGACATGTCTTGTTGCCTTATTAATGGTATACCTCTAAAGTCAGCATGGTGTGTTGACTACTTAGCAGTGTAAATGAGGGCTAACAGCCCCAGAGGAGTGGACTGAAGAGGCTTTGGGCCCCTGCGGCAGACATGTGGTCCCAAAGGGCAAATTTATTCAGTGTATAAAGTCAAGGCCCTGTCACAGGCAGAGAGAGGAGGACAGGACCCGGGGATGCAAAAATCAGATAACTTGGCCTATAGGAATGTATCTTCAGGGGTATTTTTATATCCACAGAGCAGTAGCCAGTGTGTCCAGATACCACCTGACAAATGGATTAGTGAGTGACCCTCCACTTTTACCCAGAGGGATCACTCTCTGCCAAGTGTTTCCTTGTCTCATCCTCGGGTAAACCTCCCAGAGGTATTTAGCAGGTTGGGAGGGAGGCTTGAGGCTGCAACCTGGCTGAGTTTAGGCTGGTTGTGAAAAATCACATCCTCTCTACAGCTCCACAGAATCTGAAAGCAGAAGTGTCTGCAGCTACCTCAGCCACCGGTTGGGGAAACTGGTGTGAATGGCCCTGCCAGCATTTCCACCAGGAAGTGCTTGATCCAGCTCTGCAGAGTCAACAGTCACAATCATACATCATAGTCCCAATTGTATTTGCCCAGACCAACCAATGAGGTTTGGGGCTGAGGATGAATGCCTCCAGCAACAAAAAGAGCTGTATGAGGATCACAGGGGCCTTATAGAAGTAGCACCAAAGCCAGAGCTGTCAGTTTATAAAGAGTAAGGGGGTAATTTTTATCCTTACAAATGCCTTGTCTACTTCCCCTACAGCACTGAGAAAGCTCAATAACTCTTCTCTTACACCAATCTCCTCCACACAAGCCAGAATTACTTCACACGCAGACTTTACGCATATCAATATGACAATTTGGTGGCGTCTTTGGTATGGTTTATTCAGTTTTATCTTAAAAAGTATAAAATGCTCTTGGACTGCGTATAAAGACAGTGTTGCGGTGGCAAAATTGCAAGCTGGGCACAAGTTGATATCAAATCCTGTGTGACTGGTCTAAAATTTGTTCCATAAAAGTGTGTTTTAGTGGAGTTTTACAAGTCAATTAAGGCTGTGTGAGTGTGTGTGTGTGTTCTTTAGGCCTCCTGTCAAATCACCAAGTTTCTCAAGCAGCAGCGCCCCATATGGCTTCACCACAACACCACCCTGATGCTTGAGACTGCTGAGTGCTGAAGAACTGGTGTGTTTGTGGTATAGGTGCGTGTGTGTTTTTGTGTGTGCAAGTACATAACTACTAACAAAACTGCTTTACTGCAAAACTTTTTTACTTACACAAGGGCATGTATTAGTTTCTCTCAGAGGTGAGGGAGTGGGTAAAAGGTGCTTGAATGAAGACTCAATTTCCTTAAAGTCTTTTCCCTGTCATTTTGGTGCAGGATGTATGTGGTGTTGGCTTGAGTGAAAATATGCTGGTAGCACTGTGAAAACCTCTGTAGACTCATCACATCAGTGCCATAAGCTTGTAATTGCTTTTGCAATTTCTATTTTCCAAGAGGCCCCAATAAGCTCCATATCTCACAGTCAGTTAACTTAAAAGACTACAGCTCAGCGTCTATTTCTTCTGAGCTATTCAACATTTCTGTTGATGTGTGTTCTGTAACAGGAGAGTACCCAAAGGTGGCTAAAAGAAATGGTAAAAGCAGACCATAGCTACAGAGATAGGCGATCTTGCAGCAATTTAACATTTGCGTAAGATACCACACAAAACAGTTAGATCCTGAAGACAATGACTCTCCAGAGACACAAGGCATTATTAGGGCCAAGAGAAGGACAGCAGCAGGCCGAGCAATCCACTTCTACAAACAATGGCTCCCTTTATAATAATGTAAATCAATAACTGGCATTAGCAGGAATTTCCCAACTTGTTCAGCTTTTCCAGATGCTTGCTCACTGAAATATCACCACAAGGTCGTCTCAAAGACCACTGAGAGGGAGAAGACAGATGAAGATGAGGGGTGATGGGATCAGAGGTGATGGAGAGGAGGAAGAATAATCTTGACAAAAGTAGTAGAGAAAGCCAGAGTGGGCAAATACTACTAAGAAGCGAAGGGGCCATATTCAGTGTGTGCTATGTATTCCAGTAGTCTGTGTAATCAGAGGGATGCCGGGGGTTAGGATCAGGTGGCAGAATAAAAGCTGTCTGACTGCTCTCCTCACACCTCTCCCAGCGTGACTGGGCCAGCGGAGGGAATGTGCAGCGAGAACGGCTGGCCCAGGCCCATACTGGGGCACACCGCCAAAACCTCGGTGAGCATGCCTGCCTACTCTTCTGTATTTTTGGAAACATCCATTATGCAAGTAATTTGCCTTTAAGATCTGTGCACGTATGTTCATTGAAAGGCAGACTAGGAGGAGAGATATGTCAACGATGTAAGGAGAGCCCAGCATGCTTTCACAACTATACCACCACAAAGTTATTAATACAGAAGCTCTGGAAGTGTGAACAGTAGCGGTCTGTCAGTAGTTTACAAACTTAATTTCTCCACTGATGATTTACAGATCATAATTAATGAGTCATCTGTCTGCCTCTGTGGTGGTGACGTTGTGTTAGAAGCCTTCAGAATATTTGAAAGATGCCGGAGAAACCAAAGGTTGAGCACTTCAAATGAAACAGTGAGCGCTTGTTATACTCGTGCCTCTCTACCTCCACCACCCCTAACCCCACCCTTAACCCAATGTGGTTAGCAAAAGATGGAAGAAGTGTATGTGTGTGATGTGTGTGATGTGTGTATGTGTCTGAGTGTCTCAGTATGTGTCTGTGAGCATGCATGTGTGTGTGTGTCTAAGGGGGTTTTGGTGTGTAATTCCAGAGGCTCCCCTTACCCCCTCCCAAGTTTTTCCTCTTTCTCAGACGAGTTTTTTCTTTTATTTATTTTTTTTCTAACCACTGGATTCTGGACTCAGTCTGTTTCCATATTGCTA